TAATTTACTTTAGACCAGGTTTTAGTTGGTCAATGGCGCAGTCTATTTCAGGTGCCTCAACATAGCAACGCACCAGTGATGCTCCTGAACACACCTCGTTCTCAGACCAGCTCGCCCAAGAGCGCACAAATGGGTGCAAATGCATTTGCTATTTAAACAACGTGGTGCAGGACGTGAAAATGATAACTGCATCGGGCTGAAACTAGCAAAAGACAGTTGCGTCGAGCCTGGCGCCACATTGTGCCGGCTGTATGCTAGAGCCCAGTGTGTGTGCGCATCCATGTTGCCTAGTACGTGCTTGCAGCGGGATCACGTAATTTACCCAGAAACAACTACATTCTAATTTCTGATTGGCTGTTAGGTTTCATTTAACTCTGTATAACTCGAGACTAGTGATGCAAAGTCCGATTCTTTTCACAAACCGGTTATTTTTGGACAGTTCGGCTCATTGAACCGGTTCAAAAAGCTGATTCATCGGTTCCTGGCCATAAACCATAAAGGTGGGCCAATGGATATCACATCACAAACGTTATGCCAGTGAGTGTCTTAACCTCAGTCAATTCACTATAATTGAAAGTGAAAAAAGTAAAAACTGACGGCACTTTCAGCATCTGACACTGCATTAACGGCACATATTCTCTAAGAGACGACGATAAACGAATCTGCTTCAACATATGCTGATAATGGTATATAACTGTCCTAATTTATTCCCTTAATATTTGTCTTGTGGCCCGTACATTGTGAAAGAAATGAGAAGAAACGAATTTCACGTTGAACAGGTTGTTTTTGAAAGTTGGTGCTTGAAATAAAGCATTTTCAATGATGGCTGCAGTGTTAATAATTTTTAATTAACTGTATAACTCAGACCTGTTTAAAAAAACAGGTCTGCTACATTGTAACACTGAGGTACACACACACACACACACACACACACAGTAGCTCACACTTCACGTGCAGATCACATGCACACACACACACACACACACACACACGCACACACACACGCACACACACACACACAGTAGCTCACACTTCACGTGCAGATCACATGCACACAGAAACATTCACTGTTAACACGGTCCTGTGATTTATCAGTAAAACAGCTTAAATACTGAAAAGTTCGAGCATATATTTCTTTCTGTTTTTGAAGTAACTAAAACCCACTGCTTCACTATTAGTAGAGTCACTATTAGTTTATCTGTGTTCATTCACTGTTCAGACCACGTTTTGATTACTTTTAGATTACTCTTGACCGAACTCGTTTATCACATTGATTTAAATAGTATAATCTTGTACCATATTGATATAAAAATGCAAAGAGTAAGAAAATATATCCCATTCATTGTTATTGTCAACATGAATTACAATAAACATTACATTACGTCAAGGTTTCCCAAACTGGGGTTTGTAAAGGAACTGCTGGGGGTTTATGAGTTTAATAAAAAGCAAAAAATGAATTAATCAAAAATGTTTTTACTTAAAACAAATCATTTTAAAATAGCATAAATCAAAACCAAACACTTTCTAAAAATAAATAAATATTTATTTTGTTTACATGTATGTCATGTGACCATTCACCAACATCAGAGAACCGTGAACATGCAAATGTGATGCTTATTTGTTAAAAAATATTTATTTTAAAATCTCAGGATACTTCAAGCAAATATATAGGTGAAGGAGATTTAGATGACAAAAAAGTTTGGGAATGCCTGCATTACATGTATATAAGAAATAATGTGAATTTGTGCATTTTAATGTGTTTGAAATACAAAAGCGTTCCAAAAGACATACATAACCCACTGAGCGATAATTCAAATAATAAATAAAAATTCAAATAATAAATATTGTGTAAGTAACTGTAGTCTGATTCTGAGTATTTTAAAATGTAATATAATCTAATTACAATTTTTGGAATCTAATTACACAATCCAGATCACATGTAATCAGTTACTACCCAGCTCTGCATATATACAGTATAGTGTACAACTGTATGTTTATTACTATACCCACTCTTGCCTCTGTTATTGTTGATGAGATAAGAAAACCTTGTTCTCATGTTTTTAATAACCTCCTCCATGCGTAACCTTTTGAGCGCTACAGTCCCACATACGGGATTTACAATGTTCAGTGACGTCACATAACCGCCAAATTCAAACTGTGCTTCATGCTTTAGCTGCACTTGTCATAGAATCACATCTCTGCAGTGTTTCTAACCACATAATGCTTCTTTTGTGTTTCAGACATTTAAATACACATATGTACTAGTAAAACAATGCATTTATAGTTCATAAAACACACACGGATGTCTATGGAAGCAGCAATAATATTCCATTCAAATATAATTTGCTGACATGTTTTATTCATATCAGATACACATAGTGTAAGTAACTATAAAGTTGACTCTATTCTTCTCCCGGTTCACCAGCCACTTACTTACATGTATTTCAGGAGAAAATGATGAACTGAAGTGCTGTAAATCTGACTGACAGGACTCTCTGAACTGTGGCGTGACCGTCTCACGTTATAGATCATGATCAAGATAATTTATAAAGGTTTTTAAACGACAAAATGCACTCACTTACATGTATTTGTGAATCAGAATATCAGATAGTTGATGACATGGTAAGCAAGTGTGTGAATATTTTGAATAAAAAAGAAAAAACGAAATAAAAGCGATACATATGTCATGCGGTGTTTCCGTGGCTGCGGTGTGTCACGTGACAAGCATGACGCGTCACCATGGAAACAATGAGGAGAACCGTTCTAAATAACAGTCTCCAAAAACCCTCACTCTGGGGGTCAGCGAGAATACTTTAAACTCAGCAGTGAAAGGGTTAAGGAACCGCATACATGAAGATCATCTTTGCTCTTATTATTAAAGATCTGATGTAAATTGGGATTTTTGAAGCACATGTGTTGAAAGCTCTTTGAATTTCCTATTATTATCTGTATGTCCTGTGAGAAATATTTAATAGTCTGTATAGAATTGTGACTTCTGAATCAAAGTTAGTCTTTTTTTAACCTGTTAAACTGATCTGATCTGATCTGAGAGAGTGAAGAGTGGGTCATTGTTCTCTACAGGTTGAGAGATTGTGGTGTCACAGATGAAGGTTGTGCTGCTCTGGCTTCAGCTCTGAGATCAAACCCCTCACACCTGAGAGAACTGCATCTGTCTCTGAATAAACTAGGAGACTCTGGAGTCACGCTGCTGTCTGCTGGACTGGAGGATCCTCGCTGTAAACTGGAGACACTGTGGTAAGATCATCTCTCTGATAGTCATGTGTCTTTATCCTCAGTAA